GACTATGAAATCAAGCATACTTACAGTTTCAAAGAATATCTCCATCATACGACTCCTTTTCTCCTCCAGGCTAAGTCCTTTCTTTTTAGACTGTGGAGTATAAAAGAGAAACATTTCTCTGTTAGATAAATAAAACTAATTCAGGTGTCATTATTGAATAGGTGTGCTGTTTTTATCCTTATCTCTGAGAGAAAAAATCAAACATTTTGCTGACACAAATGTCTCGTTTCTGATTCTTTCAGACTGTTTGTTTTAATGGATTGGTTCAAAAACGAATTATCTCAAAGCTACGGAGGATCAAAACTACAATAAATAAATAAATAAACGTAATACGAAATATATAAAGGAATAAATGACTTGCTAAAACAAATACAATTAATTCTTAATTAAATTTAGACCTGAATTTATTTTTGCATTCCTTTCCCCCCTCAATTTATTATTTTTTAATCATATTTTTTTTATTTAAATTTAACTGTATTTTCTTTCATTTATTTCTTTTATATTTATTTATGCGTTCATTTCTTTTTAATTTGTATTTATTTCCCGATTTAAGAACTAGAAAAAGGAATAAATGACTTGCTAAAAAAAAAAAAATATTAATTCTTAATTAAAATTAGACCTGAATTTATTTTTGCATTCCTCCCCCCCCAATTTATTATTTTTTAATATTTTTTTTATTATTTAAATTTAACTGTATTTATTTTATTTTATTCTTCCATTTATTTCTTTTATATTTATTCTTTTTAGACTGTGGAGTATAAAAGAGAAACATTTCTCTGTTAGATAAATAAAACTAATTCAGGTGTCATTATTGAATAGGTGTGCTGTTTTTATCCTTATCTCTGAGAGAAAAAATCAAACATTTTGCTGACACAAATGTCTCGTTTCTGATTCTTTCAGACTGTTTGTTTTAATGGATTGGTTCAAAAACGAATTATCTCAAAGCTACGGAGGATCAAAACTACAATAAATAAATAAATAAACGTAATACGAAATATATAAAGGAATAAATGACTTGCTAAAACAAATACAATTAATTCTTAATTAAATTTAGACCTGAATTTATTTTTGCATTCCTTTCCCCCCTCAATTTATTATTTTTTAATCATATTTTTTTTATTTAAATTTAACTGTATTTTCTTTCATTTATTTCTTTTATATTTATTTATGCGTTCATTTCTTTTTAATTTGTATTTATTTCCCGATTTAAGAACTAGAAAAAGGAATAAATGACTTGCTAAAAAAAAAAAATATTATCTTTTTAATTTGTATTTATTTCCCGATTTAAGAACTAGAAAAAGGAATAAATGACTTGCTAAAAAAAAAAAAATATTAATTCTTAATTAAAATTAGACCTGAATTTATTTTTGCATTCCTCCCCCCCCAATTTATTATTTTTTAATATTTTTTTTATTATTTAAATTTAACTGTATTTATTTTATTTTATTCTTTCATTTATTTCTTTTATATTTATTTATGTGTTCATTTATTTTTAATTTGTATTTATTTCCCGATTTAAGAACTAGAAAAAGGCATAAATGACTTCCTAAAACAAATACAATTCATTCTTAATTTAAGATTTCATTCCTTTCCCCCCTCAATTTATTATTATATATATATAATATATATTTTTTTATTATTATTTAAATTTAACTGTATTTATTTTATTTTATTCTTTCATTTATTTCTTTTATATTTATTTATGCGTTCATTTCTTTTTAATTTGTATTTATTTCCCGATTTAAGAACTAGAAAAAGGAATAAATGACTTGCTAAAAAAAAAAAAATATTAATTCTTAATTAAAATTAGACCTGAATTTATTTTTGCATTCCTCCCCCCCCAATTTATTATTTTTTAATATTTTTTTTATTATTTAAATTTAACTGTATTTATTTTATTTTATTCTTCCATTTATTTCTTTTATATTTATTTATGTGTTCATTTATTTTTAATTTGTATTTATTTCCCGATTTAAGAACTAGAAAAAGGCATAAATGACTTCCTAAAACAAATACAATTCATTCTTAATTTAAGATTTCATTCCTTTCCCCCCTCAATTTATTATTATATATATATAATATATATTTTTTTATTATTATTTAAATTTAACTGTATTTATTTTATTTTATTCTTTCATTTATTTCTTTTATATTTATTTATGCGTTCTATTAATTTTATTTTATTCTTTCATTTATTTTATATTTATGTGTTCATTTATTTTTAATATGTATTTATTCCCTCATGTATTTATTTCCATATTGCCACATTAACTTATATAAATATATTTTTGTATTTATTCTTACATTCAGTCTCTTGTATGATAATTAGACTGCTTCGAAGCAAATTTTTAATATACTAAAGCTGCGTCCGAAATCGCATACTTCCATACTATATAGTAGGCGAAAAACAGTATGCGAGAAGTACCCGGATGACCTACTACTTCCGCCCGAATTCCGTTGATCTTCAGGATGAATTTATGATATTATCAGATTTTATCAGTTGTCATAAACATGACAGGGTTAATAAAAGTTTGCAAAAGTCGTAAAACCTCATTTCTCCATCCTGATGTCAGAACATAACGTAGAAGTAATGTTTATTTTCAAGAAACATGTTGATAGTTCAATATATATTTTAATCTATATGAAGTATTGAATAGAGAGCAGGGGTTTATTAGTGAGTGACGATGTAATTTATCACTTGATCAAATTAAAATTAAAACATCCAAGCGTTCTGAATGCTTAGTTGTCATCATATTTGCTATATTCGAAGAAGCTAACGCTACATGTTAAGAGAACAGGAACTAACAATGTTGTGAAATAATGTAGTGAAGACGTCACACATTTCTGCAAACCTTAGTGTGGGTTATTCGTATAAACGACTCTAAACAGTAACAGAATTATTAAATATATAAGTCACGTTCTCACCATGTTCCAGTCGAGCAGCTTGAGTTTGGCGCCAGACGCGAAGGAAATCTCACTGCGCATGCGTGGTGCTACACAGGGTTGCCAGGTGTTCACAACAAAACCTGCCAATCGTTATTTAAAACTAGCCTAAAACTAGCCCAAATGCGTTTCGAGGTCGGGGGTGTCCCTGTTAAAAATAGCGTTCTGGTTGCTAAATATCACGCTGTTGGTTCAACCCGTGGACATGAAAAACAACTCAACAGTGTTAAAGTAATCCAGTGTGAAAACCGCGGACCTGGCAACACTAGTGCTAGCGCGCATGCGCAGCAGCTCATTTCTTACCTGTGGGGGCCAGTTACATAAACACAGCCACCTTGTTTCTTAAGAACTGGTTTGACTAACTAGCAGTTAACCAAGTGTTTATCAGTCTTACTTTTCAGATTCAAATTAGACCAGTTTAGGTTTTAATGTATCTGACTTGTAAAAAAGTTACGACCAATCTTGCATAAAAAAATATGTGTCTAAATGTTAAGACTAGTCTAAGCAGTTTAGGATGTGGTATATTCGCAAACAAAACAAAAATAGAATATTGTAGTTTGGCCTAGTACTGAAAATATTATCTACGCATTATCTATTATCTACTAAATAGTTATGTAGCACTTATGCATTGCCGTGACTTTATGTTTGTCTCATGCACAAACAACATCTGGGGACAGCTGCATAAACAGCCACTATGTTAAGACTGTGTCATAAGAACTAGTTTGACCAACTAGCAGTTAGCCAAGAGGACAGTCTTACTGTTCTTATTCTTACCTTCTTGTAACTGACTTTAAAAAGTTATGACCAGTCTTGTAGAAAGCAAATGAGATGACTAACTTTTTAAGACTAGTCGTCTAAGCAGTTTATGCAGCCGGCCCCAGGTGTTAAGGTCTAAGACAATGAAGTTTTATCAGTAAGAGTAGTTCCAGATAAAACACGAATGTCTGTTAAAGATCGCTTCATCTGGAAAGCATCTGCTGTGTTCAAACCTCTGATAGACGTCTGTAAGATGTCAGTTTTACATGCATTCTAAATCATAAACATCTTAAAGATGTCTTCTAAACATCTATTTGACATCTGATAGGAAACGTCCTATAGACGTATCGCAGATGAGCAAACTATGATAGAAGCAGAATGATAGAAATTCCCGCCGAATACTGAAAGAATTTACTTTTCTATGTTGGTTTTAGACCCAACAAAGTCATAGGTCAACAATATCTATTTCATTCATATATGAAACCTTATTAAAACAACATATAACACAAAATTCGGTATGTTTAAATACGTTTTTGGAATATTTTCTATTCTATTTTGTATATTTATGATATCAACATGTCAGGTTTTAGGATGGATATACATGACATATAGGCTAACCACAAAGTTATATGTATATATATATATGGATCTCCTCATATGACAATACAGTATATGTCATATATGGAAATATAATATGTGTACATATAGTTTACACTTGTGTATGAGGTTAATTAATTTGGCAGTATTTGCAATACTGTTTCCAAAACTTTTTAAATATAATTGAATACTGTGATTTTGTTATTTTCTTGCAGTAACACATTTTTTTGCTAGATAATAGTTTATCCAACATATCTAATATTTCACTCCATCCATATTTGCACCCCCTGTGAAAGGTAGATTAATAATTTTAACTATGTATCCTGATAATGATCAGTGTATGCATCATGGGCCTGACAGCATCAGTTTATTAACATCCAAATGCTTGGAGTTGTTTACATTTTTACAAGCAAGAAAGCTGTTTTGACAGTGACAGCTGTAGCGGTGATACACTCAAACGCTTCACATTCTCTTCCTCCTTCAGTCTGTTTAGAGTCTTTGAGTTTAAAGCTGCCTGTGACTTTTTGCACTTCTCGTTTTTCCCTCTGGTTTTCGGTTAGGTCACTCCATATATGCTATGCAGGAATGCGTTACTCAGGCACAGCTTGGCTTGTGGTAACAAGCTCACTGCTTGATTGCATCACATCCGAGGGAGAGAAGGAGAGGTGAATCAGGTCTGAAAGAGGAAGCAGGATGTCATGAAGGCGTGTTAGTCACAATGCAATGAGTCTGTGTCTCTGTCTCTGGGCCAGTGCTTCCACCGAGGACTCTGGGAAATGAATCTTACACTATTCCTGCTTTTGGCATTGACTGCTAGCTGGACTGGACTTGGTAGGTGCTCACAGTCGTAGATCATTTTTGCTTTATGTAGAATCCTATCTCTTTCTCTATATCACTCTCTTTCTATTTTTCCCATTCATTTACAGTCGCTCTCTTCTGTCTGCTCTCTTCGTCATGATCCTCAGAAAACATTTTAGACTAATGACCTGTCGTATCAATGGACCACAATGGACGATGATAAAGTAGAAGAAATTTACGTTATAACTAGTTCTTTGATTCATTTTGTTGTTTCTGGTTTCATGCAAAGCACAAAACAGCTCGTGTTTGTCGACGAACAAGGACAATAATAATTCAGGACAAATGTATCTTCCTCTTGGTTTACGGCAATCATTTCCTCATAGCTGATTATTAGTTTCCTCCTTTTTACCTCATACTTTGAATTTTGATATTCAAATATTATGTTATGAAGATTATGTTTTAGTTGAGACGATGTTGGTAACACTTTACAGTGACAGTCACGTTCACTCTTATGTAATTAATGGTATATTTATACATTAAAGTAAGATTATTTTGGTAACACTTCCCAGTGAGGTTCTGTGTGTTAACATTAGTTTATTAGTTTCAACACTTTTATGATATTTAGTTTCTACATATACAATTTAAACAAGTCAACATTAACATTAGATAATGTTTAATGGACAAACATTAATTACTGTATACTATATATATATATATATATATATATATATATACTGAACCATTAAATGAACCTATATTAATAAATGCTGTTCTTTGTTAGGAAAAAAGGACAAGGAATGTTTGTAATCTCTGGTATACTCAGATAACATCTTTCTTCAGAACTGAAACAGGCCTTAACTGAACCTCAGTATAAAATCTATATAAAGTCACTTCTTAAATGTGTAAAGTAATTTAGTTGCATGTCATTACAGTTCAATGTGAAGACAAAGAAGAGCCCGAGGGAGAGTTTGTCTCTGAAGACTGTGAGTATCTGCTTTAGGACACCTGGTTTTTACTTGATGTAGACGTTTCCAAACACATCGTAGACTACTGTAATCTACTTTCTTGGGGTCACTGCAACACTCTCAGAAAACAAGGTGCTAAAGCTGTTACTGGGACTTTGCAAAAGTTACAAATATGTAACATTTAGCTATTAATATGTACATTTTAGGCACTAATATAAGGATTAAATAAGGTGCAAAGGTGCCGCCCCATGGACCTTATTTTTGGAAAAATCCTTTAAGTTTGAAGCAATATTTTGTACATTATGTCTGCCATAGTTGTCTATAATGTTTTTGTGTTTCACCTCCACTCATAAATCTGATCTGTTTCTACACTGAACAGTGTTAGGTCCCAAAGCAGAGGGTGAAGAAGAAAACTCAGGTAAGAATTAGTGGTTACCAACTAGACGATATATTAGGGCTCGGCAATATATCAAATATTAGTGATATTATCGTGATAATAGAATGATTGATATAAAATGATAGAATATCTTGAATTTCACTCCTCCTGCTAAACTAGCCAAGAAGTGCTTATAGCAACTAGTTTCTTATCTGAAAGAGTTGTTAGTGGCAGTGTGTCATGCCACAGAGCAGAAACCGTTGATAGACTTGTGTTCTTGGCTGTGAAAACCCGTGAGACGTTTGCATAATTTACCCCACAGTGTACAATGTAGTATGTGTATTACATTGCTCTAAAGAAGCTGTCAGAATGCACTTTTTGTACCGATTTCACACTTTCTTTATACACAAGAAGAAAAGAAATGAGTGGACACTTAGTCTGCTTTTTTTTTTTTAACTGTGTGTTTTTGCACAAAACATTCTGAATGACAGATGTTCTATCCAAATCAAATATTTTTTTAATTGAAGCAAAACAAAATCACCTTTTAAAATTATTCTACTGCAAATGCAAAAACATATATATTTATATATATATATATATATATATATATATATACTCGTCAAAATTTGGAAAGATATCGAGATATCATATTTTACGTGTATCGCCCCGTCCTAGATATAATATAATTTCCATGTACTAAGCGATTTATAATACACCATTCAAAACTTTGGGGACAGTAAGATTTATTTATTTGTTTATTTATTAAGAAATTAATAATTTTATTCAGCAAGAATGCATTCAATTGATCAAAAGTGACAGTAAAGACATTTTGTAAAATGTTACAAAAGTTTTTTTTCACATAAATGCTATTCTTTTGAAATGTAATCAAAGAGCAAATATAAAAATTATATTTCCACAAAAATATTCAGCAGCACACCTGTTTTCTGAAGATCATGTGACACTGAAGACTGGAGTAATGATGCTGGAAATACAGCTTTGATCACAGAAATAAATTACAGTTTAACAGATATTCACATAGAAAACAGCTATTTTAAATTATAATAATATTTCACAATATTACTGTTTTTTTTTTATTATTAAATAAATTCAGCCTTGGTGA